TATTAATGAAGGGCAAACAGTGCTAGTCTTGACTGTTTCAAGTCATAAATTAATCCCTTAGTCTCCCTCACTTCTACCTCCATAGTCCCTCAAAAAAAACCAAGCAGCAGAGTGAAGTGGCTCTCTGTTTCTTAAGAAAACTATTTAGCTTTGTATAATATTTTTGGGTTCTCCTGTTGTTTTAAAGGCCCAGGTAGGATAAAAAGTTGCATTTGCTTCTGCAGCATGTTTGTTTTTGGAGGCAAGAGGTGCTTTGGGGTTGGTTTAAACAAAAAAATAGGCATGTTCTTACGAAGCTGTTGGAGATCTTTAGATAAAAATGGTCTTAACTGTCAGGTTTTCTTTCTCACTTCGTAGTGTAGTATTTTACCATGTAATAGCTTTTGACTAAAGTGAAATGTCACTTGCTTAACTTTTTTAGTGATATTGAGCTGGGTACTCTTATTTTGTCTTCACAGTGATTTGGGTGACCCAGTTTTCATAGCTGTTGAGTCTTTGAGTTCCTGTTGATTTGTTCAGAGCTTTGAATTTCCTGGTGTTTTTGAAAATGGTGGATTTTACTTCAGTTATATATCTTCTGATGCATGTGTGGGTTTCTTGATTATTTTTTTTTCTTTTTAGCCTGAAATAATTCAGATAAATAGATTTAATAGCCTGAAACACCTTAATCAGAAAGTACTGGGCTACATTTGTAGTCCTAGGGAATACTTTGTATATATCATTCAGTTGTCACTGATAAGCTCAGACTGTTAACTTTTTAAATGCATTCATTTCCCTTAAGTTCACTTTCAGTAGTGTTGTCTGTATTTCAAACCAGCTTTGTTGCTTTGATTTTTATTAGTGGTTTGCATGGGATGTATCTCAAATTTTATTTCTTTTGCTGTTCTTTGCTGCAGTTACAGCTCTCTTTCAGTTAAGGTGCCTTTAGTGTTGTTTTTCTAGTTAGTGGTTCTTGGAGTTACATAGCTGTCGCTTAGACCTCTTCTGTAGCCAGATCTGTACAGAGGGTCTAGGAGAAGTACAAGCTTTATTGCTAGAGCTCCCTCTTCTCATCGAGCTTCCTAAATTTTTTTCTTTTTTTTAACTTTTGCAGCTACAAGACTGTCTATTAATAGACTTAGGTGGTGTTTTGTGGTGTAGGAATGTAGCCATTACCTTTATTAATACCCCAGTTCCTAGTTCCTGGAATCAGTTATTGGGAGTTTTGCCCAATGGTGATGGGTCTCTGAGATATGTAATTCCTGTTAAGCAGTTTTAGCATTTTAATTTCTGTCCACTTTGCTTTTACAGCTAAGAAAATCAGCTCTAGAGATACCTTTGTGGGTCCAGTTGTTAGGTGCTTTTGCCTTGTGAATTTCTATTTTGGCTTAGTTCCCAAAACTTCCAGCAGTTCCTCTGAAGAAGTAGGGAAGCAAACTTCAGTTTCCTGGGCGAAGTTTTTAACAGCCTATTTTATATTGATGCATATTTGGAGCGTGGGGCCATGCAGAATACACCTGCTGGAGCTCTTTGTTTACTGGAAAGACTTCTTGGCTGTCCCATCTTTTGTTCCTGTGTCTGCCACGTGTGTTACTACAAAGTTGATTTCATGATTCCTGCATTACGGGGAGCATCCTTGGAGCAGGCTGCAGGCAGCTGGCTATTGACTGTTGACTGTAGAGGCCATTGATACCTGTCTGCTCACCAGTCTCATCAAGCAGCAAGCAAAGATTTATAACACCTTTGTCTGGGATTTTCCAGCTTGTTAATACATACATTTTGTAGCATGTAAGCAGCAAACCTGTATTTAAAAAGTGCTGGGCCTGCTTGTGTGCTGTTCAGGTGACGTGTCTACGTGCTGAAAGACCAACGTATATTCAGTTTGTGTTGGTGTTGCTGTGAAGAGCAGATCACCTGTGCAAATTAAATGAGTGCTTTGGATGTTGGCCTCATGCATGTGTTCATCTGCACACATGTACTGGGCATGTCCAGATTTCTAATGTTTGGCTGGAACAGTAGCAGTGAGTAGTCTCAGTTATTTTGTCTGAAGTCTAGAAATTCAGATATTGTGCTAAAATTTTTCGCGTTCTGCTTGGAAAACATTGCTGGGTTTCTCAGGTGGGGACCAAAAAGATGCTTTGCGGAAACTTGAGATGATAGATTCAGTGAATCCACTGGTACTTTGCAAGTAGCTTAATTGATGTATACTGCACATCTAGGTTAATCTTACCAACTTTTAGACATCTGGAAGTCAGAGGCCAGGTTTGCTCTACAGAAAATGCTGGGGGGGGAGGGGGGGGAAATCTGGAAACTCCAGACATTTTCTTCTTCATAAATGTTTATTCTAGTATAAACGGAATCACTGTGTGGAGTTTCCACCAGAGAGGAAATGTAGATGTTTCTGCTGTAGGGGCAGCATAGGTGCCTAGCTTCCATTTGTATCTAAACGTAGGCAAAATAAATCTCCAGTTTTACTGGCAGATGTGTTCATAACCTACTTGCATGCATGAGAAGCTACCTGATTGCCCAAGTTTGTAGGATGTTTAACTGTAATTGATTTCTTTGGATGGCCTGATTTTCCAGAGCTTTGTTTTCATCAGGAACCTTCTGTAGCACAAGCCTCTCAAGGCATTGTTTTCAATAGTTTTGGTTGTTCCGTGTGTCTTATTTCTTGTGCTTTTTATCCTTGCTGTCAGATGATTAGGGTTATACTCAACCTTCGTATTTTATCTAGGCTTGAAACTAGACATCTTGCTCAAGTGCAGGTGGAGGAATTATGTCAGTGAAATAATGGGCTGTTCTTGCACATGTACAGCTGAACAATTCCTTCATCAGAATAACTACCTGTCCTCTTCATTGACTTATTGCAGAGTCTCAGTTTTCAGGATCATATGTGACTGGATGAATTAGCCTTTGGGTTTATTGCAGAATCTTTATTGTAACAAACAAAAGTCAGTTTGTTTTTGTTTTATTTAAAAAAATGATTTTGTGTGTTAGTATATTAAAATTCGGACTCACGTAGGAATCTTATTTGTCATCCAGGGTTTCTACCCAGGATTTAGAATGTGGCTTTTAAATTATTTTAAATCTGCTCTTGTCTCTGTGTTCAGAAGTCATGCATGTAGGCATAAAGTGACCTTCCAGTGTGCAGTTCCCACAAATATAAATGTGGGATTATCAGTTTAGAAAAATACCTAGTTAATGCTGTAATATCCAGTCTGCTCAAGCAACATACAGTGCTCTTATTCCTTTTGGTTTAAAAAATTATTTCTCAGTTTATTCTAGAATTGTTTGACAGAATGATATAGAGCTCCTCTGGTAGTGCAGTACTTATTTTGGGAAAAGATCATAATATAGTCAGAGTTGAGTGTGTGTTTAAAATGCACACAGCTCCCTTTGGAAATTTGAAAACTTCAGAATCTTTCAGGAGCATGGTCCACTTTACCCTGTGACATGACTATAAATCATTGGAAAAGTGGGCTTCTTGCCACAAAAGCATGGATTTATTCTTCAAACGGTGACTAAAATCTCATAACTTTTATTGCAAATGATGTATGAAACATAATCAAAAATATGGTGTCTGATCTATATTGGCAATAAATATTTTGTTACTGGCAATTGACTTCAAACGATCTTAGAATCTTTAATCGTAACAAGTAACCTTAAGCATAAAAGATGAAATGCAGAGCACTTTTACAAGAATCTGTATTTTTTTTAATCAAAATGACAAATTACAATCCCGATTCTGCAAAAACTTATCTTTGTATTTATATTTTTACATTGCGATTAGCTTCAGGGGAGTCCTCGGGATTTGTTTTCTGTGTGATGTTTAGCAGGTAGGCTTAGTGTGGTTGAAGTCCATATCCAAATTTTAGCCTCTCAGATTTTCTGAAGCTTTTTTTTTTTAGTTTAAGTGGTGGGTAAGAGTGTATTTGGCATGAGGGGAGATGGAGTGAGAATAGATGTTTAAAAAAGTCATATTGGCTATGCAGTCAGTTATGTGGGTTGTGTTAGTGTTTGTGCCTTGGTCATATTAATTAATATATTTTGTTTTCCATGTGTTCCACATTACATTGATCATAATTTGAGTCTTGAGTCCTTTATGTAGGATATATAAAGACTTGAAGGATAATACTCTGTTCCCACCTCAAACTCTTTCCGTACCCTAATATTAGTCTTGGATGAATAATGCTTTTTCCAGGTTCACCTGAAAATTAGAGAGGAAAGTCTCAGAGCTTAGAAGAATTTGGTTTGGTTACATGGCAATTTTTTGCCCCCCCCCCCCCCCTTTTTTTTCCTTTCATTTTTGCTTTAGAAGTTAAAATCTGTGTGGATGGTGAATTTGTCAAAATTATTATTTGAAGATCATTAAATTATGGTAGACTAAGTGGTCAAGTGCCAAATGTTTTAAAGGAAAATAGGAAAAAATGAACTTGATGCTTATCAAAACTCTTATTAGTGTGTTTTCAGGCTGTGAGCCCTTGGTGCTTCATTGTCATCCTGCCACTGCTTACAATTTTGCCTTTATACATAACTAATTAAAAAAGTGTGTTCTCTCGCTAGATTTTGGCTAAAACCTATAGTGTAAAAAAAAAAAAAAAACCAAACCCAACAAAAAAACCCAACAAACTAAACAACTCAAAAACCCCGAGTAGTAAATTATTTGCTACCCTTGATTTCCGTGTGTTCTTAGTCTTGCTGGTCTAATCTTCACCCTTTACGGCACTTAAGTTGATTAACTGAACTTGAATATAATGTGTTAAAATGCTTTTCTTAATATTGTTCAGTATTTTTCTGTGGAGGTTTTAGTTTAAACACAGCATGTTATAAATATCCTGAAGTCAAGCAAGTGTATGCCTTTTTGTTTTTACCATATTATGTATTCTGTCTACTTAATAAAAAATGACTAGATTTAGCCTATTTTGTTTGACAGCAGTGTTTTACAGTTTGTATAATTGTTAATTTTCTGTGAAGCATTGGATGCTCTTGGGAACAGTTTTTTACTTAAATGATACTCTAAGTATCAAACTCCTTTCTCTCTCTTTCTTTTTTTAAAGGCATCGCTGCTCCGGAGGTTTCAGAGTACATTAGTCATAGCAGAACACAACAATGAGACTCTTACACCCATTACATTAAATGCTATCACTGCAGCAAAACGTCTTGGAGGTGAAGTTTCTTGTTTAGTAGCTGGGACCAGCTGTGACAAGGTAGGAAATGCTGTTTTCCTATGAATGAAATAATGAGTGCAGTGAAACAATACTTGCTGCATCTTGGTCAGCCTGAAAAATAATCTGTAGTGAAGAGGAACTGTGCCAGGAATTGCTAATCTGCCGGAAATGTCCTGCACTTGAACTGCTTCTCTTCTGAAGTGAAAATATGGGTATAGATTTCATTTCACAGGGGAGAACATCAATATCAGTTGTTACAAGCTTAAGCAAGCAAATTTTTATAGGACTAAAGGACAATTAACTCTTAAAACAATATTTCCCTGTAAAGTTTGAAAGACAAATACTTCAGTGGTAAGAACTTGAAAATTTTTATGTGTGAAATCTAGAGACAATATGGTTAGTACATTAGTGAGACTATTATTCTAGCATGGTGTACTCTTGTGTGAACAGTAAAAGTAGAAATAATTATGCCTAATATTTTTCATACTTGGCTGTTGTTTATGAATTGTTATTCTGAAAGCAATGTGTAGTATCTCATACAGGAGGCACACAGAAGGCAGCTAATTCACAAATAGGTGGAGAAACTTCTGTAGATATTCTAAACTGAGAAGCAAGTGTTCAAGGTGGAGAAACGAGGGGAAAAAAAATACTAATTTTGCCTGATATGTCTGTCCTTGAGTTTCCTTATCCTTTGGCACTTGCATAGTAGAAACATGATTTGGAATGTTTTGTTTGTGTGGTTTTTTGTTTTAATATCTCTTACATTTTTTTAGTATATGGTGTCCATTTGGCAATGTATGTGATGCTGGGAAAAAGTACTTTACAAAATATGAAGGTTTTGGATTTTTTAAGTTTGTTTGTAAGAATCTGTATTGATAGGATAAAAGAATCAGTTACTCAAACAGATTATTCTGTAGCAGCTATTAGCAGTTTTTTGTTTATTTCCTCTGGTTAATTTTTGAGGGTAAACTGATACGCAGCAAACTCAGTAAAACTATGCTAGTTCTGGGGTGATGCATGTGGTCTCCAGACATTGCTGTCAGTCCTCTTCTCTCTGATCTGCAACAACCCTTTTATCATTTAAACTTCACTCTGCGAATTTAAAGGGAAAAAAAAAAAACATAAATATAGAACCGAAAATGTACATCGCATCAGTAGGCAAAGTCAGCTACAAACAAAGGATTGCTCCTAAAATTTGGACAAAGATCATAACATTGCTGTACACTTGTATTTGCATTGTATGCTTGTGCAGTAGGTATTTACTGATTTAAAAGAAAGTAGGATTGGTTTCTGCATGATTGTATCAGAATACTGAAGAATAATCCTCAAGTGTGATTGTTATCAGCTGTTGTAATAGATTGAGATCATTATGTAATCCTGCATACAGGAGGTAAGCTTTCCTATGTTTGATTTGCTTTGTAGTTTTCTTATTCACAAAATTAATTTTCATTATCCCGTAAGGCACTATGCTGTGAGTCACAAGATCTGTTTTGTTCCATTCTCATTCTGAAATTCACATACTTTTGTGTTCCAGTTTTAACTAATCTGTAAGATGTCAACTCTTTGCAGTGAGGGCTCTCTCTTGTTATTTGTTTGTGGTGCCTGTTATAATAAAACTAATAATAATAATTCATTTGTAATCATAGGTAGCACAAGAACTCAGCAAAGTGCAGGGTGTTGCAAAAGTTCTAGTGGCTCAGCATGATGCGTACAAGGGATTTCTAGCAGGTGAGAGTTGTTCTTACCTATTGAACAAAAGAAATGGTATTAATATTTGCAATTGAAAATAAGATAGTTGTAAATTTTGAGCAATATATTTTTATCCTCAGAGGAGCTGACTCCACTGATTTTGGAAACTCATAAAAAATTTAATTACACCCACATTTGTGCCGGAGCATCTGCCTTTGGGAAGGTAAGTAGATCAAAGTGCATCAAAAATTTCTTGTAGGAAGGAGGCACAGGCACTGTTGTATGTAAGAGTGTGAATTAAATGCTTGAGAGAGGTCAGACATGGACAGTTCTGAGTTATTGAAAAATGTTACAGTAGTTTGCTTAAGAGGTCGTTAGTTAAAAACACTGATTTGTGTCTGAGTTGTTATGGGCTGACTTGGACAAAGGAATAGTGTAGAAGAAATATTTAGTGGTAACCAATGTGCAACAAAACAAAATAGATTAAGTGATCTGAAAGCACTATGAAATTGTAAGGAAAAGTATAGTGAATTGAGATGAAAAATATGATTTACATGTTGAAATGAAAGTGTGTAGACCTATTGGATGTAAAACTTTTTTGGGGGGGGGGAATTGCACCTATGATGTAAGTCATATAAATTGAAATGTCTAATGTATATAAATAACACAGATCCAAGTCTTAGCAAAGAAGTTTTTAAATGAAAATACGTTTTTTTCAAAACTTGTTTTTTAAGGAGTGTGTTTTTAAGTATGGAGAGAGCCTCAGTATTTACGATCTGGTCAATGTTGTAGTACAGCTAAATTAGAGAAAAAGGATACTTCAGAAATGTTGCCAATGTGGGATGAATAATGTCATCAGCCTTCCATCTGACTACTTTCACTTCCAATCAATATCAATCTGTATACTTGTAACTTTGCTTAGAGAAATCTTTATATACCTTAAGTCTTACGGGGTTTTTGTTTTACTACTTTTTTTTTTATCTGCAGTGTCTTAGTAGTAAAGGTTAATAGCTTTAGCTTTAAAATTTACGCTTCCATTTTTGGGTGCTTAAGGTGAGTAAAGATTTCAGAATTGGGCACTCTGTGTTGTACCAGGTTAGGAGGGCGACAAAATGGAAGCAAAGCTCTTGCTGTCATTAATTTCTTCATGACTGTTTCTCTTTTTATCCTTCTTCCCATTCCTAAAGGTGCTAAGTAATTTTCTAGTCAACTTCAGAGTAGGAGAATATATATTTTAATATTAATTTTTAAAATAATATTTTTTTGGCTTTTGAAGGGACAGTGCAGTGTTGAGGTTTTTTTTCCCCCCCTATTGTCTCTGGTAACTATCTTCCAAAAATGCTTTTTTTTTTTTTCCCCTTGAAGTGCATAAAGCTCAGCAATCCATAATTGTCAATTTTCTGAGTAAATTGCATGTATATTCAGTTTTAAGCTATAGAAGCAAATAAGCTTCCCAATTTAAGATATTGAATTAAGGGGTTACTTACAGTAAGTCTCAATGTCTAATGTTATTACAATAATGGGATTTTATTTGGCTGCTAAAGCTACATGAGTAGTCCTGAAAAAGTCTTACAGTTGTATGTGTGTCTTTACTTAAAGACAGCATTATATGAAGTTAAAATTGGGACAACGGGTGTTCTTTTACTGGCCGTGTACATTTTACTTAGCATTTCCTTTGCTAACTTTTAATCTTTAACTTCTAGAATCTGATTCCCAGAGTGGCTGGCAAACTCGATGTTGCCCCTGTTTCTGACATTATTGAAATTCAGTCACCAGACACTTTTGTGAGAACTATCTATGCAGGTGGGTGATCACAAAAGGTTGTGTGGTATTTGTGCAATAAAGTATGCAATACTGATAACTTTTCTACATACGCTGTTGTTAGAACCTTGGAATATGATAGAAATTTTCCCTTTACGATCTGAATCGCTGTGCTTCATAAAAATGAAACCTGGGATGTGATGCTCCATGAAAGCAAGTAATCCCGACAACTTTGGTACCATCAGTTAGAAACCAGGTCTATCACTTTAGTTAATAGAATTTTATAATCTCCTTTATAGATACTGCATTTCTTTGTTGATGTACTTCTGATCAGATTTTGTAAAACATAAGACTATGTTAATTGTCCAGCTTTATTTAATGACTTGCATTAGTTCTGATTTAAGATACCACAGGGTTATTTTTCCTAATTACGAAGACATTGAACTAATTATTTATAATATTTAATTGACTTAATTTGCAATTTTTTTCAGTCTTGTATCTCTAATGCTTGTCTGACACTGCATTTTAATTTAGATTAATTTAGCTTGTGTTTCTTAATTTTACCGTACAAGATTGTACCACGTGTACCAACATGGTGTCACATTTTGAGTTACATTACCAGAATGTGGTTTTGTGTTGCACTTTTAAGTTGCTTCCCAGTAATTCACAGTTTCAAGATGAGTTTGTTTATGAATAGCTGGTGTTGCAGCATTTCTCTCTTTTAGTGTTCCATGCAGCCTCCAGTGTGAAGTAGATACCTTATGTTATATATTATTGAGAGAAACACAGTCCCTCAGATACTTGGGGCAGGCCTCATTGTCTTCTGTTCTTATGCATTCATGCAACAGGATAAAAGATCTACTTTGAATTATAGACACTCTTTATGTTTAAAAATGACACTTTAAAAGTTGGGGTTTTCTTTTCCCCCTTCTGAAATTTAAAAGCTCTTTCATAAGAGATTATTTGAATGCTCTGGATCCTTTAAAAAGAGAGGATTTGTTGTCATATTTCAGAAACATGGAGCTAAGAAGTAAGTGAAAATATCTGTAAGCTGTATTTACGAAGTGCCTAGGTTTCAAGTTTTAGTCATCTAAAGCTGCAATTTTGAATGTTGCCTTTTCTAGTAGAACTGCTAATGTGTTTCTGATACTAATTTTACTTGTTTTTTAAAAAGCATAGTATGCCTGGTATCTTTTTTTCAAATATTATATGATCTTTTTTTTTTTTCCAGGAAATATTCTTTGCACTGTGCAGTGTGATGAAGCGATTAAAATATTTACCGTACGGGGAACTTCTTTTGAGGCTGCACCAACAAGTGGTGGTAGTGCCAGTTTAGAAAAGCGTGAGTATTTGTTCTCGTATTTTGTTGTTTCTTTTAATAGAGTTAAGTTTTGCTCACTGCACAGTGATGTTTTGCAGAAGTATTTGTCAAAGCAAACTGAGTGTCATAATCTGAGCTTTATGCTTTTAATACGGGTATTTGCATTTTTTAGTGATGTCTGGTAAGGGAATATGCGGATTTTCTGCTTGCTTCCTACTTATTCTTTGACCAGAAATGGAGATTATCTGTGCTGAAATCTGTGCCTGTTTCACTTGCTGCTTAAACCTCAGCACCGCAATCTTAACGTTTTCTTATTTAAAGTTACAGTTGCTTGGGTAGCCAGATCGGTTTTCAAAGCAAGATTAAGCAAAAATAAGAGTGGCTGGCTATCCACCGTTTTGGCTTAATGGGTTGTGTTCAATAGAGATAGGTCATTACAGTGTCTAGCTGAATTAGTAGCAGTTTAAATTGATTTGAGAACACCTAGTTGTTGTGTTAGATCAGTTTTAACTAAATCAGTTTAAATTATTATTTTAACGAAGCCAGTGTAGCTTTGATGATAGAGAAATCCAGTCACAAAAGAGTTGAGGTTGGAAGGAGACCTCTTGAGACCATCTGGTTCAAACCCACTGGAGCAGGTTGCTCATGACTGTCAGGCTTTGAGTATCTCCACAGATGGAGACTTCACAGCCACTCTGGGCAACCTGTTCCAGTGTTTGATCACCTCTACTGTTGTTTGCTGTGGGCCTTTTTATAACTGTGCTGTAAATCCAGCAGAGGCAATCTTTAGTGACATGCCGCGTGTGTGTGTCCCGGTCCTCGTGTTTTTCTGGGTGGCTTAGTATCTGCCCCGAACCATCCTGGATTTCCTAACGTCTGTGGATGTTAGGAAACAAATGCTACTTGATGCTTAAGAGTAGCATATTGCACTGTCATTGCGCTACTTAATTGGCTTGTTTGCCTGTCTTAATAAGAACCACACTTACTATGCTGGGTTGTTATCAATGTATTGCTTATACAACAGACCTTCATTTTAGTGCAGCGTGTACTATAGGTTACTTAAACATAACTAATGAAAGAGGCTTGTAACTCAGAGCCATAGAGCAATTACTAATAGTAGCTAAACGCTTGTGGTAGAATTGGTTATAGAATGACCTTTTGCATTAAGTTTAAGCTCAAAAGGTTGAAAATACTCGAATTATCCTTTATCTTGGGGATGTTTTTCTTTATCTGATGCAGTAACCCCTCCACCGCCTGTTGGTCTGTCTGAATGGATTGAGCAGAAGTTGACAAAAAGCGATCGGCCAGAGCTTACTAGTGCAAAAGTGGTTGTGTCGGGTGGTAAGTAAATATTATTTAATCAAGATGCACCATCACTTACATGTAACATAAGTTTTAATATTATCTGTAGCAGAACACTATAATGTGATACATTAAAAAAAATTGTGATGTAATTCTGAGATATGGCATAGGGGGGCCAGTGGGAACGCACCCAACATGTGTTGTGTAAAGAGGCAAAACGTGAGTTTAACACATGCTACTAGGCTTTTTAAGAACATTGTCATATTTGATGAGTCTGTTTAAAATTATAGCAGTATGAAATGGTTTTAGATCCAAATCTGTCATGTTTAAAATTATTGTTAATCATTACAGGCATTCCAAACGTTATGTAATGGCTTTAATGATTTTAAAAATCGGTATGTTTGTGTTCTACTCTTCAGGTATAAAGTGGTGGACTGTGATTTTTACTGTATGCCTACGTCTAAAAAATTATTTTGTAGTTATCCCACTACAGAGTTTTGTACCTAAAGCCAGCAGAGGGAGCACAAATTAGTAAAAAAATCCAGTTTCCTTGATTTCAGAGAATGATCTTGATGGTGCTGTGTGCAGGAAGTAAAGCAGACAGAATGGTGTTGGTTTATACATATGAAATAATATTAATCACAAAGACAAAAGCTAGATCTCCAAAGATTAAATACTATTTAGTAATATATCGAAGTACCCTATCCGAGCATATATTTGTGCCTTTGCAAACGCAAATATACAGAAAATTTGTGTAGGCAATAAAAAAATCTTAAAGCATATTATGTTCTTCTTTCTTTAATTTTTTAAGGGAGAGGCTTGAAGAGTGGTGAAAACTTTAAGTTGTTGTATGATCTCGCGGATCAGTTGCATGCTGCAGGTAAAGCTTTTTTCATCCTTTTTTTTTTTGACCCTGGCTATTATAATTTAACAAGGTCACGTTAAAAACGGTGTTCATCTGAAGTCTTTTTTCATGTCTCTATTAAATAAATTCTTAAAATTCTGTTAGTTTTATATTGTCCTTATGATCAACTGTGTATTTAATTACACATGTATGAAGCAAAATACTGAACTGTAATATTCCCTGTCTTCCTCAAGTGTCCAGAACACAAGCTCGCAAGCAAAAAGTGAAGTTGTATAAATTAAAAAATAGTTTTAGCTCACTTTTAAGAACTGTTATTTTCTTTGTATGTTCTTATATACTACTCCTTTACAGAATCCCTTTTGCAGTTCTTGTAGTTTGAATGTCTGTGTTTTTGCTATGCTTTTGTATTAACAGGAGAAAACTGACCATGTACAGTGTTTCAGCAAAATATTTTAAGTAAAGGTTGCGGGAGGAGGAGGAACTGTTTGCATTAACATTTTAACTACATTAGTTTTAGATTTTACGTGTAATAATGAACTTACAGTTTTACAGTGAATGGCTTTGTTTTTAAATTGGTGACTTCACTAGCTAAATGTCCATGTGGCATTTTCAAGTTTACTTTGATATTTTTCTTTACAATGCCTGACCTTTGAGCTCCACAGCAGTATAAGATGGCACATGTGTTCTATTCAAACTTGGAGAAACATTATGGGAAGACATTTATGGGAAAATCTTCTTTTTACAAAGCAACAAGAGAAAATAATGGAAATATGCCAGACTGAAATCCTTGGTTTTTAATATATGGCCCTTTGGTGCTGGGAGTAAGGATTTCCTGTTGCTTATGAAGTGCATTAGCACTTAGTATTTGGAAGTTTCAGCCAGTGGTATAGAGAGGGATTATTATAAGAGCTTTTAAGAGGGAAGTTTCTAAATACGTGCCTTTAGAGTATGGGACTCTTCAGTAAAATACATGTGCTTTTATGGTGATAGAAATTTGGCTCGCTAATATTTTAAAAGAAAACACTGGAAATACTTTCTTTCAACTAGTTGGAGCTTCCCGTGCAGCTGTTGATGCTGGCTTTGTTCCTAATGACATGCAAGTTGGACAGACGGGCAAAATAGTAGCACCAGTAAGTATGGAAATATCTTTCATAAGAGTTGTGATGTTTTTGAGCATGCATTTTCCTTCAAAGCAAACGCTTAGAAATGAGTGAAGTCTTAATACTGGGCCTTAACAGGAAAATCTCAGTGTGCCCATTGTGATACTGTTACTTGACCATGCATTTGCAAAACTACAGCAGCAAGCTGTGATGTAAATATCTACTTTGGGTCAATCGGAAGTGTTCTGCAGACAGTTTTGTCAGAGGTTTTGCATGCTGAATTTTTTCATAGTTGCTTGTGCTGAACCTTTTTTAGTTTTTTAACGGCCATCATTGATATGCTAAAAGATGTCATTGCCAACATAAACTTGAAATTATATTTATGTGGCTTGATTTCTGGAAAGTGTGCTTTTTGGTTTTTTTTACAGGTGGTGATTTTTTTATTTAAAGTTTTGGTAACCATAACTGGGTTATTGCATTAGATTCTAAGCAAAATTTTTGTAAGATGTGAAAGTGAAGGAAACTTAAGAGATAAATAATCTACAGGTTGGCTGCTGTAGAGTGAAATACCAAGAAGGGCATAATCTGAGTGGCTTAATGTTGGGAAATAACCGGCTGCACATCTTTTCTGCCATGCATCCTGATCAGGGATGGTTTTCTATCCCTGTGTCTTTTTGGATCTTGGGGGTGGCTTTCTGTCATGTAGAAATGTGAGACTACTTTTGTTGTTCCTTATGACCTGGGGAAACATGGGGGAAGTAGTTGACGGAATAAAGCACGTTGAACATTTGTAAATAAGAAGGTACAAATGTAGCTCATCTCAGCGTGGGGCAGAGTGTGCGCTAGCACATACTGAGATGCGATGGTCACGGACATGAGTAGGGAATTGTGACTAAGAACATGGGCAGGTATGGCAATCTGTCAGATGTACACTTTGAGCTACATAATCGAGTAAACATTTTGCCTTTCAGTAAGCAGTTCTCTTTGAGCATGTATGGCAACAGAAGGCACCAAAGAGCAACTTTTTTACTTGTTAATGGCTTAATGAGACCAGAAAGGGAGAGCGAGCTGGAACTTTGTAGAGAAACTTGTCATAGTTTAACTGCTGCATTTACCAAATCACAATAACTTAAATGATACTAAAAAGCTATATGTGTCTAAAGCCTTAATAGGATCTGAAATGTTTTGCCTTTGTACCATTAAGAGCTGTAAATTCAAGAACTTCAAACCACGACCATTATTTTTCCAGGAATACATACAGCAGGATAGAGCAGTACTGGAAGATCTCAAAGACAGGAACTTGTGATTCCTGGAATCTGTTTTTCGTTCTGCCTGCTGGGTTTTCTTGAACAAGATACTTTGTGCTTCTGAGTTCTTCTGTCTTGAAATGTGGATAGGGATGTTTGCTGCTTTTTTTTTTTAAAGTCCTCTGATGATAGCCCTGTAGGGCTAAGTGGAGCTATTTCTGGGCACACTAATGTTTAAGGTGTAAATCTGTATGATAACCAACTGCTACAAAAAGCAGCTTCTGAGAAATAGACCTATTGGTAAGACTTAAGGTCCATCTGGTTGCATATTGTGTCCTTCCAAAATCTGGATAGCAGTGATATTAACCTCTGCTATGCAAGGAAATTGTGAGGCTTTAGAGATTACAAATGCAACCTGAAGTCCTCTTTCTGGTGATGTCTCTCTTTTGTGCACAGTACGTAATTGTTATTTTTTTGGACTAGTGCAGGACAGCTGTAGCCCCCAGCATAATACTTCCTCTTTGCTAAGGGAACATTGGTATTAAAATCTTGTGTGCTTTCTTTTGGTCACACAGTAGGCATAAGCGTATTGCAGCTATAAGTCTCAGCAAGCTGATCGACATTAATTCAGTAAGTGCAACTGCAACTTACGTGGAAATTGCAGGTTCTAAAGAAGGCAGACTTGGTTGTCATGAGGAGGCAATTTTTAGTCGGTTGTTGCATACCCAAACCTTTGAAAACCAGGGAGTAAGCTAAGTGTCCTTTAACTGTGTATGTTGAAAGGGCGAGATGAGACTGACCATCCTTAGTTCTTCACTACCCAAATATCCATTAATGAAGTGGAAAATGCTATTTGAAGACAGCTTAGCTCTGCTTTGTGTGTTTCAAGGCTCAACAATGAACATTCTTTCCAGAGTCAAGGGCACATAAACAATTACCTCGAAACAAAACGGGCTTGCTTTTGATGAAGATACAGTGCTATAAGTTGCCACAAATGGCTCATAGCAACATGTGAAAGTCATAAGAACATACAGCTGCATCATAGGATCATATCAATGTCATCATTGTCATCTTCTAGAGGATTGTTAAAACAGCCATTAGTAAGGACTGACTAATAAATGTTTAACTATTGTGTCAATAAACAATCCTAACTGGCACAATTACATGGTGTCACATCTTTTTGTTAGCAGGTTGATGCATTTCTCTCTCATCTCCCTTCTTAACAAATATTTATTACATACTGAAAATTCTATGCCACTTCTTTCAAATTGTTCAAGTATTTCTTCTGGATCTTAAAATACATGCAAGGACAGCATACAGTGGCTAAGAAGTATAGAAAATACTTTATGTTAATTGTAATGAAAGTGCAAGTTGAATTGATACTAAGCTTTCAGAGTTGCCGACGAGAGGAATGAATTTTTCAATGTGCTGGATAGGTATCTTAAATGTGAGGGAGTCTAAAGCTGCAAATTCTTAACTTGACATTCCTAATGCTACTTCACCGTCCTTTTGGTACTTTAGCTAGAAGATTACTCTGTGCAGTGGAAGATAGAGTTCACTTAAGGAGTAGAACTGAACTTTCTCAATCAGATCAAGATTATACTGATAATAATCCTGTAGAAGATGACTGCTTTCTCTTCCTATGAGGTATGTTTGGTATCAGTAGTTCAGGGAGAGCTCATGGTGTTTTATCTGGAAAACTGCAAAGCAGCTTTGTACATCGGTTAGTTATATTAGCTGAGACCTGAGTTTTGTGTTTTGTTTTGAACTCCAGCTGACATGGTGCATGCCCTCCTGGTCGTGTGGGGTTTAAGCAGGGGAAGAATCTTGGATACAAGAAACTGTTGGGGTTTGAGACATACTTGCTCTCCTGTGCAGCTGTTAGTTTCTGATGGGAAAGTATCTTAGTGTATGCTCTTACTATTCTATTTATAGTCTCTTGCCCAGTCTCAGTGGAGGATTGGAATGCATTGTTTTTAAAGGACTCTGGAATTGGGTCATTTTTGAGACTACGGAGGGAGAAGAGTTAGTTACAAGCTCAGGAAGAGGGGAGGTGCTTCTACTGCTGCTTTTTGTGTGTGACTGCTGGGGAGTGTTTCTGTGCTGATCATTGGGTAAGAAGGTAATAATCTAAAAGATCTGCTTATGTCTTCCCTTGTGCCTTTGGTTGTGGATTTGGTGAAGGAAAGGTAATTTTGGTTATTGGTCCTTCATTTATTCTGTGACTAGCGTCAGTTTTTGAGTGCAGCCCAGGCAGTATGTCACAGGATGAGAACCTCACAGCCACAGCAGCTTTCCTCAAATGTTGATGTATTAATACATGAACAAACTGCCAGTCAAGAAACAAATGTAGTTAGTTAAAGTAATGAAAGAATGCAGTTAAGTAAGGAGTACACATTTCACCTTCTTTCTGTTTGAGGATTAGTTCTGTAGAGTATAACTACACTTCCAAAATAGCCTTGGATGTCTAAACTTTGAGCTTTTGTTTGTGTTGGAATTTATGCATTTTATTGGTTTTTGCCTGGGTCTTTGGTAATTTTTCTTTTGTATAATTTTATTCCAGTTGCTAGAATGTTTGGTGTATTATTTTTGTTTCTCGTAGTAGCTTTTTTTTACCTGTTGATTTCAGGTGATTGCAGCTCCTGTTTGAACATTCTGTCTTATGAAAGGGAAGGCTGATTTGTATTATTTGATGAGATGGAAGGAAGGAAATTTTTAGGCATAAGTGGATATATTAAAATATAAAATGTTACCTTCCTAATTAAAAAAGTAATTTAGTATATTCAATGTCTTTAATCAGTGACAACCATTTTAGGAGTGTGGTTTTTTAAATTAGAAGCCAGTTGTTTTCCACTATTTCTTATATGCAGGTGTTCTGCAGAAAAATGAAATTCAGTTCTTAGATTGAGCACTGTATGTAATTTCTGTTTAAGAAAAAAGCCCTTCTAAGAATGTTCAAATTAGTTGGGTTTGGATAAAAATATCCTTCCCATGAGTGCCTACTGTTAAGCATTAGTTAATTATATCCAGTTAGAAAACACTAAATTTCCTGCACAAATCAAGCCTCCCACCACCACCCCAGAATAACTGCTGGTTTTAGATAAGAAATTTCAAATAGTCAGGGGTGTTAGTTTTCACAGTAAAAATCTTCCCGGGTCTTTCTATCTTGCTTACCAAAAAAAAGGAAGGAACAAAACCAAAAGAGAACAAAGGTGTAAATAATGTTTCTCAGTTATTTAAAACTTTTATAAATGGAACATGAATGCTTCATTTATTAGTTCAGTATGAACTTTCCTTACCCCAGGTATAATTAGCAACATTTCTAACATAGAAAGAAGTATGTAATCTTTCTCGTGCACTTGAATAATTTGTCTAGTACTTAAAGAAAAAAATTCTGACTGTTGTGAGAAAAGGAAAGCAACTGCTATAAGCCTTAAGTAGCTGATAGTTACTGTGTGGGACCTGGAGACTTCATTCTGGAGCAGCATCTATGATTCAGGTAGGAAATCCTACACTGTCTGCAATGCTGCTAGGCACCTATGTTTGGACACCCAAATTGTTCCCATGGTTTCCCAAGTTTTCCCTTGTGTCCTGTTCTAGTTATATTCTCCCTTTTAGCTTTTGAAGAAAGATGGGGTTGTACTGGGATTCTCTCTCTCAACTTCTTCCCCTCAGAAAACAAACAAAACATCTGTGGCACTGAGTTGCTTTTTTTTTTTTTTTTTTTCTCCTCCAGAAAGTCCGTGTTGGTTTAGGCTGTTTATTTTGTTATTCACTGACCTT